CTGACATTATCAGAAGTCACCTTGAAGAGCATAACTTGATAAATGAATCTCTGCATGGATTCACGACAGGTCGTTCCTGCCTGACAAACTTACTGACGTTCTTCAATAGAACATTTGAGGCAGTTGACAGTGATAAGGAATATGATATTGTTTATTTGGATTTTAGTAAAGCCTTCGATAGGTACCTCACAAGAGACTCTTAAGAAAAGTGGCAGTTTCATGGTATAGGAGGTAAAGTTCTAGCATGGATTGAGGCATGGCTTACCAATAGAAAGCAGAGTTACCATTAATGGAGTGAAATCTGAATGGGGATTAGTCACTAGTGGCGTTCCACAAGGATCAGTTTTAGGCCCTCTCTTGTTCATAATTTACATTAATGACCTTGATGAAGGGATTACGAGTGACATGAGTAAGTTTGCTGATGATACAAATATAGGCCGTATAATTCACTGAGGAGGATAGCAATGAACTCCAGGACGATTTGAACAAATTAATGTCTTGGTCTGAAAAATGGCAGATGAAGTTCAATGTGGTACTTGCCCTTGGTAACGAAAATAACCCTCGAAGCTATAATCTAGGTGAAGTAGAGCTTGGTCATACAGAATGTGAAAAAGACTTGGGAGTCATGGTAAGCACAAATCTAAAGCCAAGACAGCAGTGCCTTAGTGTGCGCAACAAGGCCAACAGATTACTTGGATTTATCTCAAGAAGTATAAGTAACAGAAATCCAAAAGTTATTTTACAGCTCTATACATCACTAGTGAGGCCTCATTTAGATTATGCTGCTCAGTTTTGGTCCCTACTACAGGATGGAATAGACTCATTAGAGAACATACAGAGAAGAATGACTAAAATGATTTACTGTGTAAGGAACCTCCCGTATGAAGATAGACTTAAAGCCTTAAATCTCCACTCTCTGGAGAGGCGTAGAATGAGGGGAGATATCATTGAAGTGTATAAGTGGATGACAGGCATAAACAAGGGAGATTTTTAATAAAGTACTGAGGGTGTCGAACCAGGTAAGAACCAGAAATAATGGATTTAAGTTGGATAAATTTAGATTTAGAAAGGACATAAATAAGTACTGGTTTTCTAACAGAGTTGTAGATGCGTGGAACAGTCTTCCCAGTGAGGTGATAGAGGTTAGGACCTTGGGTAGCTTTAAGAAGAGACTGGACAAGTATATGAGCGGGAGGGGCTGGGTTTGATTGGTGTCATTGGGTACGGGAGTTATTTCTAGGGAAGCTTTAGGTAGTAGTCGTTTTGATAAGGACCTGCCTCGCATGGGCCAGTAGGCCTTCTGCAGTGTTCCTCCATTCTTATGTTCTTATATCAACCAGTTACCAGCAGATATCAACTAGGTACCAGCAGATATCAACCAGGTACCAGCAGATATCAACCAGTTACCAGCAGATATCAACCAGTTACCAGCAGATATCAACCAGTTACCAGCAGATATCAACCAGCTACCAGCAGATATCAACCAGCTAACCAGCAGATTCAACCAGGTACCAGCAGATATCAACCAGTTACCAGCAGATATCAACCAGTTACCAGCAGATATCAACCAGCTACCAGCAGATATCAACCAGTTACCAGCAGATATCAACCAGTTACCAGCAGATATCAACCAGGTACCAGCAGATATCAACCAGTTACCAGCAGATATTTAACCAGTTACCAGAAGATATCAACCAGTTACCAGCAGATATCAACCAGTTACCAGCAGATATCAACCAGTTACCAGCAGATATCAACCAGGTACCAGCAGATATCAACCAGTTACCAGCAGATATCAACCAGTTACCAGCAGATATCAACCAGTTACCAGAAGATATCAACCAGGTACGAGCAATCACTGCAGTCAGTGGACAAATATTTTAACATCCTGAATCAGGAGCCCTGAATCGACCCCCCTGTAAAACATGCGAGTCAAGACAGACACAAACACACACACAACCTGAATGTTTCCGGCAGAGGAGAAACAAAAGGAAAAAAAAATGGAACACAGGAACACAAGACGACACAGAGGTGGCTATCGATCTGGGAGACCTCAGAGGTAGGGTGTACACAGTACACCACACACGCACGCACACGCATACACACACATACACATAACACACACACACACACACACACACACACACACTGTACTCCCTCCCAACACTAACAGCCCCACAAATTCCCTGCCAACCATCCACCTCACAACCCACACATACGTACAAAAAAGTGCGCGCCAAAAATGTTTGTTTACAAATAGGTGCTGCCATCTGGAGGTGCGCGCCAAAATGTTTGTATACAGCTGATGTGCGCGCCAAAAATTTATGTTTACGGTTAATGGCATTCCGGAGTTGATGTTTAGTTGATATGCGTGCGGAAATGTATGCTTAAAGAGGTATATACACTAAAATGCCTATAATATCTCTATGTATATACAGTGAGAGGTATATCTTTCTCAGGTCTACACAAATAAATAACAAAAAGGCACAATACCGAGACTGGAACGATACACAAATAACCCGCACATAAAAGAGAGAAGCTTACGACGACGTTTCGGTCCGACTTGGACCATTGACAAAGTCACACTGTGACTTTGTCAATGGTCCAAGTCGGACCGAAACGTCGTCGTAAGCTGCTCTCTGTTATGTGCGGGTTATTTGTGTATCCGTGTGCACACACTCCATATCTCTCACTGGACTCACCTAAATGTGGTTGCAGGGGTCGATACTCAGCTCCTGGCCCCGCCTCTTCACTGAATATATATACCGAGGTGTATATATATACACTTACAGTTGAATTAGACAACTATGCAACTGTAGAAGTATACACGAGAAACGAGGTAATCAGTCCCTCAGCCTCGGAATTAGCGAGAAGCACAGCGCTATTCTCCAAGACTGAGGGACTGATTACCTAGCCTTTTGTATACACTTCTACAGTCTTCCCATTATGTTCTTGTATTGATGACACTGGCTGGCGAGACGTCTACAAATCAAGATACCCTGGTATTATACCTGCGTCTAATTCTTCATTTGTCGGTATTGTGTACCATTTATATACACTGGTAGTTTATATTGATCAGTATTTTTGGTATTCAAGGCTTAATGACTCTCGTGTAATAGACTTTAAACTCCATTAACCAACCAACCAGTCTTAATGACCCTGGTGTAGTAGATAGACTTTAAACCCCATTAAACCCAAACCAACCGTCTTAATGACCCTGGTGTAGTAGATAGACTTTAAACCCCATTAACCAACCAACCAGTCTTAATGACCCTGGTGTAGTAGATAGACTTTAAACCCCATTAACCAACCAACCAGTCTTAATGACCCTGGTGTAGTAGATAGGCTTTAAACCCCATTAACCAACAAACCAGTCTTAATGACCCTGGTGTAGTATATAGATTTTAAACCCCATTAACCAAAACCAACCAGTCTTAATGACCCTGGTGTAGTAGATAGACTTTAAACCCCATTAACCAACCAACCAGTCTTAATGACCCTGGTGTAGTAGATAGACTTTAAACCCCATTAACCAACCAACCAGTCTTAATGACCCTGGTGTAGTAGATAGACTTTAAACCCCATTAACCAACCAACCAGTCTTAATGACCCCGGTGTTTGTAATACTTTAAACCCCATTTAACCCACCAACCAGTCTTAATGACCCTGGTGTAGTAGATAGGCTTTAAAACCCCCATTAACCAACCAACCAGTCTTAATGACCCTGGTGTAGTAGATAGACTTTAAACCCCATTTAACCAAACCCCCAAACCCTCTAATGACCCTGGTGTAGTAGATAGACTTTAAACCCCATTAACCAACCAACCAGTCTTAATGACCCTGGTGTAGTAGATACTTTAAACCCCATTAACCAACCAACCAGTTTTAATGACCCTGGTGTAGTAGATAAGACTTTAAACCCCATTAACCAACAAACCAGTCTTAATGACCCTGTTGTAGTATATAGACTTTAAACCCCATTAACCAACCAACCAGTCTTAATGACCCTGGTGTAGTAGATATACTTTAAACCCCATTAACCAACCAACCAGTCTTAATGACCCTGGTGTAGTAGATATACTTTAAACCCCATTAACCAACCAACCATTAACAGGTCAACAGACTTCCTCATCAATAACATCACCAACATAACACCCGAGAAGCTTGCAATGCTTTTTTCAAAATTCACCTCGAGAATGCTTCTCCCTATCGTCTTCAAACTTTAAAAACTGGTTTACTGTACTCAGAACAAGACTTACTCAACTACTGATATATACACTTGCTCTGTACACAATTCTGTATAGTTTACATAGATAATATATATATATATAGAAACTGATAATTTATATAGAGATGTTTAAGTGGTTACCTGGTTATTGAGACTAGTTATTAGCCGAGTGCCACTCTAGGTTCTAGTAAGAGGGTTCTCTTGTACACACAGGCTCCTCAAGGGAGGTTCCTTGACGATGGTGAGGGGATCTTGATCTGGGGAATTGGATCTGTACTCCGGTTCCCTGAATTGAGCTCCACATGCGCTGTATAATCCCACGGGTTTAGCGTTCCCCATCGGTATAACAAGTGTACACACAGGGCAGTGTACTTACCTCTTAAAGGTGTACTTACGTGAGGTACGTGTACTTACCTGATGTACGTTACCGTCTCTGAACTACACACATGTATAAGTCAGTTATTACTGCCGTAACTAATGCAAGAAACAGCATTACTACTGACATAACTACTGATATAACTACTGACATAACTACTGATATAACTACTGATATTACTACACCTACAATTAATACTGTTACAGAAAACCTGTACTGTTCAGGAAGTGTCGACCAATGACCAACATGTACAATGCATCCTGAGTGTACACGTCTACCTGAGTGTACAGAGTGTACACAGTCTGAGTGTACACGTCTGAGTGAAGAGTGTACACAGTGAGTGTACACGTCTGAGTGCACAGTCTCTCTGTGATCCAGAAGGTTACAAAAGGATACAGTCTGATGGAGCCTTGCTTGGTGCCCACAGCCAATACTTTCTGTATGGGATCGAACGCCACTGCAGTAGGCTGGTAGGGGAAGCCATGACGCACAGTCTGCAAACGTAACAAATACAACGTATTAGAAAGGTGTAACCACAGTTTAAAGTTCGGGGCCAGAACATGTGACTCGACCCCACTGCAACCACAAATAGGTAATCACACTGTAAATATATTGTTGTATACAGGCCTAGGTTACTGCTCTCTCTCTCTGTCTCTCTCTCTCTGTCTCTCTCTCTCTGTCTCTCTCTCTCTCTCTCTCTCTCTTTTTTTTTTTTTTTTTTACACAGGGTTTGACAAGGTTAAGGATCCCTAGCTTTATTGACAGCTATATTACAGGTTAAGGATTCCTAACTTTATTGGCAAGCAAAGAGCTGTTACCTACATCAGCTCATTTGAAAGCATTTTTATTGTTATGAGACATACAAGTACGGGACAGGATGAAGTTGGAGCCATCTGTGGGCCAGCATTTTCATTTGATCAGCTGACTTTATCTCGTTGACATCATTATGCTGTACGAATGTGTTCCATACTCGAGTCATCCTGGGTATGTAAGGTCTCAGATGGAGTGATGTTCTGGAGAAGGGTACAGCCAGAGTGAAGTTGCTGCTTTCTGCCCGTCTTGTGGGATAAAAGCTTGTTTCACGCTGTCCTCGAAGTGGATCCAAGTGTGGTATTTTGACAATATTGGCCTTGTACATAACAGTAAGGCCACCCACATCCCTCCTATGTTGAAGGCTCTGCTGAAATGACAGATCTATCCAGGATGGGTCCAGGCGAGAGATGAGACGTCTTGCTCTGTTATCTACTCTGTCAAGCAGTCGCAGATGAGAGGGGGGGGGCAGGCAAACCAAGAAAATGGAGCATACTCAAGGTGTGAGCGTATTTGTGCCTCGTACAGGATCTTGCAACCCCTACTGTCAAGCAGATGCGAGATACGGCGAAGTGCTGTAAGCTTCCTGGCTACCTTGTTTGCAAGATTTACAACATGGTTCTTCATGGTTAGTTTGGAGTCAAATTTCACCCCAAGGATATCAACTTCTTCTCCAGGTGCCAACATCCTCCCATTCATCCTTACTACTGCACCAGCATTACCATCATGGTGCCTAGAGACGATCATCATTTGCGTTTTCTCAGGTGCAAATGTTACTTGCCATCAATTTCCCCAAGCTGATATAGCTCTCAGCTGGTGATTGATGTAGCTTAGAGCAGCTGGCATTTCTTCTCTTGGATAAGTGAATGTCAGTGTGCAGTCGTCTGCATATGCATGTGATTCTGGGATGAGATGAAGAAGGTCGTTGAAGTAGACATTCCATAACAGTGGACCCAGCACGCTTCCTTGTGGAACACTTGCCCCAATAGGATGCCTTGCTCATTCCGTTCCATTGAGGACTACACTTAGAGATCTACCATGAAGGTAATCACTGAGGAGACATAGCGTAGAGCCTGCAATTCCCAGTGCTTGAAGTTTTGCTAAGAGGCCCTGGTGCCACACCCGGTGGAAAGCGCCAGCAATGTCCAGTGCCACCACACAGCTGACTTTGGATTCATCCAGTGACTGGTGCCACTTAGTGGAGAGGTTTAACAACAGATCAGCAGCAGAGTAACCTTTCCTGAAGCCATATTGACGATCACAAAGTAGTGCGTGGTAGTCAAAAAAATCTGTCATTTGTCTTGAGATTATTGTCTCAAGGATCTTACCAGTGATTGACAGCAGTGACACTGGTCTGTAGTTGCTGATTTCTGCTCTGCTCTTCTTTTTGTGAACAGGGACTACATTTGCCTCTTTCCATAGAGAGGGCCATTTACACTGTACTAGGCAGTGCTGAAAGATGCGAGTTAGAGGTGCTGCTAGCTGGTCTGCACATCTTCTCAACAATCTTGGGCTCAACTTGTCTGGGCCAACAGCCTTTTCTTGGTCAAGTGATTTAAGAAGGAAATGCACCTCCTCCTGCCTTATTGTCACCACTGACAGTTTTGACACAGTTCTTGCAGCTAGCCAAGGAGGGTCCCTTGCTTGCTGGATCAGGAACTCTCTCCCTCTCTCTCTCTCTCTCTCTCTCTCTCTCTCTCCTCTCTCGTCTCTCTCTCTCAGTCTCTCTCTCTCAGTCTCTCTCTCTCTCAGTCTCTCTCTCTCTCTCTCTCTCTCTCTCTCTCTCTCTCTCTCTCCTCTCTCTCTCTCTCTCTCAGTCTCTCTCTCTCAGTCCTCTCTTCTCTCTCTCTCTCTCTCTCTCTCTCTCTCTCTCTCTCTCTCTCTCTCTCTCACTCTCTCTCACTCTCTCTCTCGCTCTCTCTGGCTTCTCATTTGCATATCTACAGCACAAACTGGTATATCACCAGTGACTGTAGACCTAGCAGTGTCTGGTATATCACCAGTGACTGTAGACCTAGCAGTGTCTGGTATATCACCAGTGACTGTAGACCTAGCAGTGTCTGGTATATCACCAGTGACTGTAGACCTAGCAGTGCCTGGTATATCACCAGTGACTGCAGACCTAGCAGTGCCTGGTATATCACCAGTGACTGTAGACCTAGCAGTGCCTGATATATCACCAGTGACTGTAGACCTAGCAGTGCCTGGTATATCACCAGTGACTGTAGACCTAGCAGTGCCTGGTATATCACCAGTGACTGTAGACCTAGCAGTGCCTGGTATATCACCAGTGACTGTAGACCTAACAGTGCCTGGTATATCACCAGTGACTGTAGACCTAGCAGTGCCTGGTATATTACCAGTGACTGTAGACCTAGCAGTGTCTGGTATATCACCAGTGACTGTAGACCTAGCAGTGCCTGGTATATCACCAGTGACTGTAGACCTAGTAGTACCTGGTATATCACCAGTGACTGTAGACCTAGCAGTACCTGGTATATCACCAGTGACTGTAGACCTAGCGGTGCCTGGTATATCACCAGTGACTGTAGACCTAGCAGTGCCTGGTATATCACCAGTGACTGTAGACCTAGCAGTGCCTGGTATATCAACAGTGACTGTAGACCTAGCAGTGCCTGGTATATTACCAGTGACTGTAGACCTAGCAGTGTCTGGTATATCACCAGTGACTGTAGACCTAGCAGTGCCTGGTATATCACCAGTGACTGTAGACCTAGCAGTGCCTGGTATATCACCAGTGACTGTAGACCTAGCAGTGCCTGGTATATTACCAGTGACTGTAGACCTAGCAGTGTCTGGTATATCACCAGTGACTGTAGACCTAGCAGTGCCTGGTATATCACCAGTGACTTGTAGACCTAGCAGTGCCTGGTATATTACCAGTGACTGTAGACCTAGCAGTGTCTGGTATATCACCAGTGACTGTAGACCTAGCAGTGCCTGTTATATCACCAGTGACTGTAGACCTAGCAGTACCTGGTATATCACCAGTGACTGTAGACCTAGCAGTGCCTGGTATATCACCAGTGACTGTAGACCTAGCAGTACCTGGTATATCACCAGTGATTTGTAGACCTAGCGTACCTGTAATCACCAGTGACTGTTGACCTAAGCAGTACCTGGTATATCACCAGTGACTGTAGACCTAGCAGTGCCTGGTATATCACCAGTGACTGTAGACCAAAGCAGTGACTGGTATATCACCAGGACTGTAGACACTAGCAGTGCAACAGGTTAATTACAGGACTTAAGTAACTAGCAGAACACTGGTATATCAGACTGTCGACCTAATCGGTGCTGGTAATATGACCAGTGACAGGTAACTAGCAGTACTCGGTATTCACCATTGACTGTAGACCAGAGACCTGGTAATCACCAGTGATGAGAACAAGCGGGTGCCTGGTATATCACCAGGATGTAGACGAACTCTTAAGTATTCTAAACGGTTAATTACGGACATAAAGGTAATAGAACCTGAAGGGAGTTTTAATGCTAGAAATTGAAGCCATAGACAGGAATAGAGTCAGTCAAGGTGATTAATTGGGTGAAACAACAGGTAATTAAGAGAGAGAAACGGAGGTGAGGGACGAGAGGGAAAGATAACGAAGCTTATAACAGGTAATTAAACGGTATTAGGAGGCTCGGGGAGAAACAGAGGTTTTATCTATAATTAGCTATCATGGAGAAAGTAGGAAGGGAAAGTAGGAAGAGGAGAGAGAGAGAGGAGAGAGGAGAGAGAGAAGAGGAGAGAGAGAGGAGAGAGAGGAGAGAAGACAGACAGACAGAGACAAAGAACAGAGAGAGACAGAGAGAGACAGAGAGAGACGAGAGAGGAGAGGAGAGAGAGAGAGAGAGAAGAGGAGGAGAGAGAGAGAAGAGAGAGAGAAGAGAGAGACAGAGAGAGAGAGAGAAGAGAGAGAGAGAGAGAGAGAGAGAGAGAGAGGAGAGAGAGAGGAGAGAGAGAGAGAGAGAGAAGAGAGCAGAGAGGAGAGAGAGAGAGAGAAGAGAGAGAGAGAGAGAGAGAGAGAGAGGAAGAGAGAGAAGAGAGAGAAGACAGAGAAAGAGACAGAGAGACAGAGACAGAGACAGAGAGACAGAGACAGAGACAGAGAGAGAGAGAGAGAGAGAGAGAGAGAGAGAGAGAGAGAGAGAGAGAGAGAGAGAGAGAGAGAGAGAGACAGAGAGAGAGACAACCCCCCAGGTCACAACAAGGCAGTGTACACACAAAAAAGTTCGTACATGAGAACATACGCACACGAGGTAAACGCACAAAACAGTCGGCCATTTTTAAAAGTCTGGCGAATGTAAACAAAAAAACAGCTGACGGGGAACGTGGTGCGAATATTAGTGTACTTGTTTTATGTGTTTTGTTGTTCCACTGAGTTTATGTTTACATGTCATTGTTATTTTTGTTGTTATATATATAATCAGACGACGGTATAAATCAGTGATGTGATCAAGGTGGTCTAGGGGGCCAGGAGCTGTGTCTCGACCCCTCCGAACATAATTAAGTACCACCAACACAACACTGTTAATGTAACTACACACACCCAACACACACAAACACACACACACACAACACATACACCCAACACACACACAACACATACACCCAACACACACACAACACATACACCCAACACACACACACACAAACACACACATACAACACACACACATACAACACACACACCCAACACACACACCCAACACACACAACACACACAACACACACGCAACACACACAACACAACAC